CCCTTCTTCAGAAAATGAAGAAGGAAATGAAGAAGAATTTTCTGAAGAAGGGTCTAGGCCCGAAACGTCAGCCTTCCTGCTCCTCTGATGCTGCTTGGCCTGCTGTGTTCATCCAGTTCTACACCTTGCTATCTCTAATGCTTTTCAATGTTTACTCTGTCCGGTTGTTCAACTTAACAACTGTCACAGTACAAACAAATTCCTGTTTTCACTCCAAGAACTCTTTCTCATACTGGTTCTAAAAGAAAAAAAAACCTCCAAAAATACTGGCAAGTTAATAGTTAAACCCCTCTCAAATGTACACACCAAAACCTACATGCCATTCGTTCAAAAACCAAACTTCAAAATAATTTCTATTAACATATAACCCACACACCATATATCACATCTCCCTGCAAAGAAAAATGAAAATATATCTTCAAGAGGCATTTTCATTATCCACAAAAATATTATCTTAACACTATTTTTATATCACATTCACAGAAGTCACATCAGGTAGGATCATAACACAGTCTATATACTTGTCTTGATGCCATAGGAATGAGGGTACCAAATCAACAAATGCAAGTCCCAATCTAGGAGTTTTAAATGTGACTATCTGAAAAAAGTTTGAAGTCATCTATTCACTTCTGTTAAATCAGGGTGCTAAGTTCAGTCTCAGTCACATTTTATCACATGTTCTTCTCCCCCCATCTCCCCCCCAAGATTAAGGCATAAATGTTTCTCTTGGCTGGATTTGGACTTTTACATATTTTATAATTAATATTATTCACTTTCCATTGCTGCAGTCCCTTCCTCAATAAACCTTACGTTATTTGATAAAATGTATTTGCTTATTGAAGATTGTTTAATTCTCAAATTTTGACATGTATAAACCCTCCTTTTTCTTTGAAGTTAGCAAAGATATTTACTTTAGTGCTTCCAGTTCTGCCTTGAAGAGTATGTCAGGGCTGGGTGATAGACATCAATTTTAAGCAATGCTTATGTCAAATAAATCCTTAATCCAGGCATTTTGTTTTTATTTTTCCTCAAATATTTTCAACACAGTCTCATTCCATCTGACCAAATTAAACCAGACAGAATTGTCAAATGAACTCAGCTGATATTTCATCAAAATACACAATTTGCAATCTCTCAACATCAAATTAATATATATATTTCAGAGATGGCCTAAAACCTTAATTTTAAGTCAAGAAAATATTGCTCAATTACAGTTAACAACATAGTAAGTCATGGCACTTTCCCAATCACTCACTAGAAGGTGCACTCCACTACATTACACCACATTCATTGATTAACTGAATTCATGGACAGAAATGTTGAAGAGCAGTACACAGCATCCTTGTTCTTGCAACCACTTTACTGTTCAGCTACGAACCAAAGTAAAACAGGCAGAAGTGTTTTGTGAAAGGAATAGATGACTCATCTGAATAATGCCCATGTTTATTTAATAATTATGTCAATTTTTATATGATTCTGACTGTTATTCAAGTCTCGTAGACAGGATTTCTGTATAAACAGCAGTTTCATGTGATAGCTACAGGGGCATGAATTAAAACTAAAATAATTTTCTGTGCACAATATTGGGCAGTTAGGCATGTGACCTTCATGAAGGATATTAGATGAGTAGTTCTTAATTGCATTTGTAACTACAGAATCATGTGGCACATTTTGGTAATGGTGAATATTAGGGAGAACCATAGATCAAAGCATTAACAGTAATACATCTTTCATAATTACTTATGATTAAGAAATGTTGAGACATATTAACAAAACTTGCACTTATATAGTATTTGCATGTCTCAAAGTGCTTTACAGTCAAATATGTACTTTTGAAGTGTAGTCACAGGTGCAATGTGTGATTTATCACAAGATGAATTATTCATTATCTTCTTATGCTACTCATTTAAGAATTTGGCAAACAATGCATTTATAAACCTTAACTTAATTCACATGTAGCTGTGCTTTATGATTAGACAGCCCTCTACCGCATATTGCAGCAAATTTGATTCTACCAGGCAGGCAGGAAACATTACTCTAGCACAATAAAATCAGAAATAACACAGAGCTTCTTGATATTTTTGTATTTTCCAAGAAGGGAGTAGCATTTTTCTGCCTGGAATAAGCAGAGCAATAAAAATTTAAACTTAGTGACGCTAGATTGACATCATATTCTTCTCATTTTGTTAGGTCACATTCAAAGCGATATCTACTAATAAGGGTGCCTTTTCTTGGAATCAAAGACAAACCACTGAAAGAACTACAATGCTGAAAATCTGAAACAAAAACAGAAATTGCTGGAAAATCTCAGCAAGTATAGCAGCATCTGTGGAAAGAAATCAGAGTTCACATTTCAGGACACAAAACGTTAACTCTGATTTTTCTCCACAGATGCTGCCAAATCTGCTGAGATTTTCCAGCAATTTCTGATTTTGGTCTTGGAACCATCCCTAGCATGGAAGTATCAGGCTCAGTGTAATGATCGTATCCCGGAAATAGAGTTCATGTCAGATCACACAAACATGCTTTGAATGCAGTCTGACCTTTTGCACCCAAATAGGGGAGGGGGAAGGTGGGGAAGAAATTGTCTCAATTCCATCATTACTCCTACACATGGGTAAACTGCTAAATATACAGGATGCAAAAGCAAAATACTACACATTTGAAACCTGAAACAGAAACTGAAATACCTGGAAATAATCAGCAGATCTGGCAGCATCTGTGTCAAAAAATGTTAACATTCAGGTGTTTGACTTATTGCCAGAACTATACTAGGTATCCTGGTGTGACAGCATATTGCTATACAAACAGCAAAGCTTGCAAAGAATGCGCATTTAATTATTACATCATTTTAAGCGTGTAATGTATTTGAAGTGTTCTTCAAACTAGGCATTTTTAAACTTTAATTTATAATAAAGTTTATTATAAACTTTTCTGTACTTTCCATCTCAGAAACATCAGGCACGAAATGTGAGAAAAAGAAGCAGGGGTGCTTCATAAATTTTGGAGGGAAGGACCAAGGTAAAAGATTGTTTGACAATCCAAATCATAAGATGCAAACATGACCAAATGCCTAAGGCTAAAGCTGTGAGTCAATGACATGCTTGTTGTGGGTACATCTTGTTTTGTACTAATTGACCTTTTAAGTAACATTAATGACAGAAGGCATTTCTATATGTGTTACTGTCACATAATTTTCACATTCTACAATATAGATCAAAAACTAACAACCAAGCTAAATAAATAGCAATTTGTTAGTCTGAAGAGAAATTAAATCATATTACACTAAAATCAGCATACAACATGAGAGCTTGCAAATTGATTTCACACCAATGTGTTACAACTATCTTCATTTTTGCATATATTAAAGCAACAGGTAATGAGAGTATGCTTTTACTATTAATGTGTGAGCTTTGATTAGTTTCTTGTTCTGACATAATTAATCTAATACATGCCAAAGGGATTGTTCAAAAATATATAACCTTTACGTAATACTTAGATTTGTTAATATTGTGATAAACCACTACAATTGTTAAATAGTAATATTTCTGTAATGCAACCTGTTCTGTACATTATAAGCAAAAGCAGAAAATGCTGGAAATATTCAGCAGGTCAAGCAGCATCTGTAATGTGAAAGACAGTTAATGTTTTAGGTCAATGACCTCTCATAAAAGTATTTCAGATTTCCAGCTTCAGTATTTTGATTTTGTATATTGCTGTATTCCAATAATTTAACATTTTTCAGTGTGTACTGTATGAATACACACAATAATTATGATCTCAAACAATTACAGTGCATCCTGTTTGAGCACAATATATTGCGCCATAGTATGATGGGATGTGGTTCCATGCTAACAATACCCTCCATGCAAATTCTTGAGTTGAGCACAGCTGTTGAAATAGCAGGACTTATCATAAGGTATATATCATTCTTGGGTAACCGATCAGTTTCAGTAAGGGCATGTGCTGTTCTGGACTAGGTAATATATTCAGCTTCCAATCTGGAAAAGGCATATATTGCAAGGTGATCAAAGATATTAAGGGATGAAATATCCAAAAAGGAAAACAGTTCCCTTAAAAATACTTAAATAACAAGTACTGTGTGATCTTTAATGTCACTGTACGACATCTGTATGATACTCATTGCTTTAGAAAATGTTAAAAAAATTATAACATTTTAATTATTATTTGGGTCAAATTCTAGATAAAACCTCTGTGCTAAAACATACTTTTGAAAATACTAAGATTACAGCGCACATCCAAATCCTCAGAGTCATATTCACTTTATTTGCTGTTGTAACCTGATATATACAGGAACATGTCATCATTCAGGAATATGAACTTCTTTGTACAATTCAGATTCCTTTGATAAATGGATGTGAGCCTACTCCACTCAAATAAATTGAATTTATAAAGTAGATTACTTAACACTGGATGATGCGAGGTGCTCTGCAGCCAACGAAGTACTTTTGTGGTGCAGCTTCTGCTGTGATGTATGCAATTTAGGAGCCACTTTATGTCCAGCCAAGAACATTATAAAAACATTGGACGATATATTTTGTGCTGCTGGTACAAGATATAAATAATGGCCACAGTACTGGGGATAGCAGCCCTATTTAATTTCAAGATTCTGCTGTGGGGTCTTTTAGATCTAGCTGAAAGAGCAAACAAGGCCTTGGTTTAATATCTCATCCACAAGATGACACTTTCAACAATGCAGAACTCTTTCAGTACTGCACTAGAGCGCCAGCCTTGATTTACACATATAAGTCCCAGAACAGGAGATGAATGCAGAACTTTCTGGCTCAGAGATCAGAATGCCATTACCTGATATTTTCAAACCTTGGGTGAATTAAGGAAAAAGATCTTACACTTGATATTTTTTCAAATTAGCCCAGCAAGTTTACTGCAGTAATATCCTACTAGGAATGGAACTTCTGCTGGTAATATTTCACATTTTTTCACTTTGCAAAACTTATCATGGTGTTCCGTTGATTTGGCAAAGGGTTTTATAGCTTTAAAAGAAATGAGGTGTTAAGTTTCCCCAAGTACTAATATCTCACCTCGTCAGATATTTATGAATGAGAAAGAGCAATCATTCTAACCTAGTGCATCCACACAGAAATACCGTGAAGTCCTTTCAGTGCAACATCTAACTACTTAAATTAAATTATTTGAAGTGTTTTACCTTCATTAGTCTATCTGAAATTCAATCCATTCCAAATGTTGATCATTTCTTGCGTCAAGAAGGATTTCCTGAGATCACTCTTCAATTTTCTTTCACTAACTTCACCTTTGGTCTGAGTTAATTTTAAATAGTTTTGAAATTTAATTTTGTATGTACCTCTATAAAGGTTATTTGTGACAACTTGTTTCTTGGCTGAAAATCACAAATCTCTCCAAATCTTTTCTTGTATCTTAAACATTGAACACTAGTGACTAGGTCTTGAGGTTTATGTTTGCATTGCCTTTAATGCTGCAGCATTCCCCTCATATCATGGTGACCAAAACTGGACACAATAGTGGAGATATGATCTGATCTGAACAGGATACAATCCACTCCACCACTTTGGAAAGGCAGTTAGACATTCTCGACTGGCTGTCTTCCAATACCTTTTGATGTTGTATATCAAGTGTACCAATACTCCTAGGTCCCCTTCCATTTTATATTTTACTATTTCAATGCCTTTGTCTATTTCCTTCCAATGTATAGTACAATATTCTTCTGTATTAATTTGAAGTAAACTCACAAAAACACAAATGCAAAGAAGTTCACATAAAATCTGTAACCAGTTGTTTCAGAAAGTGGCAAGCAGAATACCTATATGCTTGGGAAAAATAGCCTTTGATGAATAGGGTAGGTGTATTAAAATTGCTATCTTGTTGTAAGAAAGCATGGATTCAGACTAGAAGAATATTATCTTCATGGTATGCCTGGATGGACAAGCTGAACAACCATTTTCAAAGTACAACATTGTTTGCTCACAATGATAAGTCAAAATGATGGAGACTGTTCTGCCCGTCTGATTCACAAAAAAATTAAAATTTCACAAACAATGCTGAAGAAAATGCGATATTGGTGCAGCAAAATATGGTTGAGATACATAATAGGAGCATGTGAAAGGAAGTCTAAATTCACTACATTAAAACTTTATCTGGTATTCTCATATCTCTCTCAACTAATAGCACCAAAATTAGTTTATTTTGAGACAAAGCGTGACATTAGAAATGATAGCCAACTCAATGTTTCTGTGACTTTAACCAAATTACGTCTTCACCTTTTCTATGACTGATTTGAACTCTTGTTTTAAGAGTTGAAATATATCGACTTAAACAGTATCTTACTCAGTTGTGTTAATGTTTTCCTTTAATGTGTTAAGGCAACATTTTAATGTGCCAAGTAGCTCCAGGCCTCTTACCTCCTGTTCATGTTCTATTCTCATGCTGGGGTTGGCATTCACCTCCAATAAAACAGGCTTCATGTTTTTCATCAGAAGTATATCAAATCCTAAAATCTGTAAATAATAGTAAAGTTTATTAGAGGCCATTAAATTTTAACATTTCATTTTAGCCATTAACTTCACTCTCCACTTAAATGTGGGAGACTAGAGGTTGTAATATGATCAGGTTTAAAGTTCCAATGGAAAGAGAAAAAAAAGCATAAAAACAAAATCAGCAGATTAGGATAGGGCAAATTTAAGAAAGATTTAACAAACCGAGGTGAAATGAAATGAGAAACTGGCAAGCCACAGTACAATAGGGAGTCAATGTCAAGCTTCAAAATGCTGTGGATAAAGTTAGTAATCTAAAATTTAAGAGGATACCAAGTGACAACTACAAAATAGCCTAACCCTAACCTCTGACCTTAAATCTATGCCCCCGGTTAATGACCCCTCTACTAATGGAAAAAATGTCTTCCGATCCACACTACCTATGCCCTGATAATCTCACTCCTCTCAATCTTCACTATTTCAAGGGAAACAACCCCAAACTATCTAATCTTTCCTCAGCTCAGATCTTCCAGCCCAGGCAGCATTTTGGTAAAGGTAAATCTCCACTGGTTACTCTCCAGCGCATCTCGTCATTTTTATAATGTAGTGACCTGAACAGCATGTAGTACTCCAACTGCGGCCTAACCAGCATTCTATACAATGTCAGCATAATAACTTTGCCTTTGTATTCTATGCCTCGACTAAATAAAGGCAAGTATCTAAGATGGTAGTGGAGTACGACGCTCCAGCTGAAGTTTGTACGCTCCTTCGTTCCTTTACTTTTCATCTCCTTTTTTTCTCTCATGCTCTTTTTCCTCTTTTGTCTTTTTCTTCTCTTCCAGCAGCCTGGAACAGAGCGGAGGTGGCCAGCAGAGCAGAAATGGCGGCCAGTGGAGCAGAACAGCGACCCTGAGTGAAGATGGCTACTGGTTGGGAACCAGTGGCACCTGGTCAGACCACATGGAAGACCTAATAGAAAGACTGTAATGTCTATCTTTTCAGCTTCATTTCTTATTTTCCTAACTCATATTGTGTATATCTGTAATGTAGTGTAACTTTTCTTCTTTATTTTCTCTATATTTTGTACCTAGGTACTTTCTACCTAAGATGGTGTTGGTGACATTTTACACTTCTCACTGTACTTCCGATCTTTTGTAACTTGAGAACACATGACAATAAATATAATTCTAATTCTAATACCTTCTTAACTACCTTATCCATCTGCTCTGCAACCTTCAGTGACCTGTGGATAAGTACACTAAAGTACCCCCCTAATCTTCAGCACTTCCTGGGATCTTACCATTGATAGTGTAATCCTTTGCCTTGCTAACTCTCCACAAACACATTACCTCTCACCTTTCCAGATTGAATTCTATTTACTAAAGCTCTGTCCACCTGAGCGGTCCTTTTATTTCCTTCTGCAGTTCATGGCTGTCCTCTTAACTATTCGTCATTCTACTAATTTTCATGTCATCAGCAAATTTCTTATTCATACTCTCTACATTTACGTTCAAATCATAATATGCACACAAACAGCAATGGCCTCAGCACTAAGCCCTGTGAAAGCCTACTAGACACAGACTTCCAGTCTCAGAAACTTCCCTCAAACATCACCTTCTGGATCCCTCCTCTCAGCCAATTTTGGATCCAACTTACCAACTTGCCCTAGATCCCATGTGCTACAGTGTTCCCAAACAGGGAGCGTGTTTGTGTTTTTTTTTAAACTTCTATTGCCTCATTTGAAAAGCCTTCCAAGGATCATCCCTCTTCACTGAATAAATGATTCCTTGATTAATATTGCAACCTCCCCCTCTTCTATCCCTGTCTCGATATCATCTGAATATCCTAAAACCAGGAAGGTTGAGCTGACAATCCTGACTATCTTTTAGCCAAGTCTCAGCCATAGCTACGATATCATACAAACACGTGCCTATCGGTACCTCCAACTCATCTACTTTATTCCATTTAGCCTTACGAACTCTCTCATATCTAGCCTATATTTCCACTGCCTTCCAGATTCACTGATTAATGTTTTAACTTCTAATTCCACCTCAGCTTCTTTCACCTCTGCATGATTTATGAGAATCCCATCCCCCCACCAACCTAGTTTATATCAGCCCTAACAGCATTAGCAAACCTGTCTCTGAGCATGTGGTCCTGATCCTCTTTGAACAGAACAGTCCCAACTCCACCAGAAATGGTCCCAATCCCAAAGGAATCTAAAACTTCCATCCTGCAACATCTCTCCAGTCACTCATTCATCTGCTCTATTCTTCTATTCCTATACTCATTATTGTGTGGCACTGGAAGTAATCCAGAGATTGTTATGTTTGAAGTTTTGCTTTTCAATTTCCTCCCTAATTCCCTAAAGTCAGGACCCTTCTTTTTTTCTTTCCTCCTATATCATCAGTCCCAATATGGACCACACCTCAGAGATAGCAAGGACTGCAGATGCTGGTAGTCAGAGTTGATAAAATATGGAGCTGGAGGAGCACAGCAGGTCAGACAGCATCAGAGCAGTAGGAAAGTTGATGTTTCGAGTCGGGACCCTTCATCAGGACTGGGGAAGGGGATGGGGCTGGGGGAAGGTAGGTGGGACGGTGATGGTAGATGCAAGTAGGGGATTGTAGAGATTGGTCAATGGAAGGGTGGGGCAGATAGGTGAGAAGGGAAATGGACAGGTTGTGTCAGGTCAAAGAAGCAGGGATGAGAGGGAGGGCTCGTCGTGGGATGAGGCTGGGGGTGGCGGGATTTTGAAACTGGTGAATTCTATGTTGAGGTCATTTAGACCACACCTTTGTCTGTTCACTCTCCCACTCCAGCATCCCCTACAGCCATTGACCGTGATACTTGAGAAATAATGTACTATTGTGGAATTATGTCTATGGCAGTATCTGTCTACTCCCCTTGCTAAAAAAATCCTGCATCAGTATTGCCCGCCCACACTTCTTCCTCCCACAAACACCTCACCCCCCCAGCAAACCGCACAGTACCATGGCCTTTGACCTGGCTAGCCTCCACAGAAGAACAATCAAATTCACCATTTTCAAGGCCGAAAACAATTCGCAAGACAGATGTGCACTTGAGCATTTCTTCCCTGCCTGCCTGTTCCCTTTTTCTGTCCAGCTCTCACCATTCTCTCTCTCTCTGATTGTGTTTCCTTAAGATGCAGGGTGATCACGTCACGAAACCATGAACCTCTCAGCCTTGTAATACCCACTGCTGCCACTCAGACTCCAAAACCAGGAAATCAAGTTGCTCTAACCAGAGCCACCTCTTGTACACATGATCCTCCAGACTGCCCAGAGTGTCTAGGATTTCCACATAGTGCAGGATGTGCCTAAGCTTCCTAGACATATCTCAACTAAATAGAATATGGACATATTACTCCTACTTTAGTATAGATTAGAGGAATCTTATTCTTGTTTATATCCCGAGTCCTACTCAGGTCCATCACCAGTCTGTCTGCTTCTCTGCAGTGGTCCTCACATTGCCCACTCCTTTCAGTGATGCTGACTGCCCATCACAGGCTCCTCACCTCACTTGGTCCTCAAGATACCACAGTCTGCTGTCATTAGACAACTGGTGACAAGTCTTGACACCTCAGGTGAAGGGCAAGGTTGAAGAGGCGGGGAGGGGGGGGAGGGGGGTCCCTTCACAGTGACCTCAGCTGGAATTGAACCCACACTGTTGGCTTCACTCTGCATCACAAACCAACTGTCCAATTGATTGGGACAACTAATCCAATGCAGTTTCCTGGTAAAACTCAGCACAATTGCGACACTGTCAATTTTTCCAACATACGTTGGGAGAAGATACTGATGGAATAGAGTTATTAGCACATCATCATTGTAAGTATCACTTGAAAGTAAACTTGCATCTGATAGGAATGTTAACTTTAGAAGATGAGTTTTACGATTGGTGTTGAAAGCTACTCAAATTCACACTATGTCGAAGATCAGCAAAATGACAGGCTGAACCAAAAATAAATTCTCTCCAGTAAGCCTTACAATAGGAGAGCTGGTATTTCAACTAAACAACAGAAAATTCAAACCCTGATCCTACTAAACATAATACATTGTTGTGAAGTATAACAGTGTTCCACTTCAGACTCCAAACATACAGCATTCTTAGGGGGCTTGACAGGGTACATACGGAGCAGTTGTTTCCTCTTGTGGGAGAGTCTAGAATCAGAGGGCATAAGCTCAGAGTAAAGGGTCACTCAGTTAGGACAGAGATGAAGAGGAATTTCGTCTCTCAGAGGTAGTGAAAAATGGCAGATGGAGTTCAATCTGGATAAATGTGAGGTATTGCATTCTGGTGCAACAAACAAGGTTAGGGCTTATACAATTAATGGTAGGGCCTTGGGTAATGGTGTAGAATAGAGGGACCTAGGGGTGCAGGTATATAATTCTTTAAAGTTTGTGTCACATATAGACAGGATGGTTAAACAGGTTTTTGGCACACTTGCCTTCTTTGCTCAGTCCTTTGAGTATAGAAGCTGGGACGTTACGTTGTGGTTGTATAGGGCATTGGTGAGTTGTCTTCTGGAATACTGTGTCCAGTTCTGGTTGCCCAGTTATAGGAAGGATATTATCAAGCTGGAGAGGGTTCAGAAGAAATTTACCAGGATGTTGTCAGGTATGGACGGTTTGTGTTATAAAGAAAGGCTGGATAGGCTGGGACTTTTTCACTGGAGCATAGGAGATTGAGAAGCGACCTGATAGAAGTTTATAAAATAATGAGAGGTATAGATAGAGTTGATGGTAGTTGGCTTTTCCCTAGGTTGGGGAATTTTAAGACTGGGGGCACATTTTTAAGGTGAGAGGAGAAAGATTTTAAAAAGTCATGAGGCAATTTTCCTAAGAGGGTGGTTTGCATGTGCAATGAACTTCCTGATGAAGTGGTGGGTGCGGGTCCAATTACAATGTTTAAAAGATATTTGAATGATATACGAATAGGAAAAGCTGTGGTATCTGGGCCAGAAGCAAGCAGGTGGGACTAGTTTGGTTTGAAATTACGTT